TAGATAAGATCAGGAGGTAAAGAAGCCTTAACAGCATTGCCTCTAATTACTTCCACTCTAAGAGAAAAAGCTTAGATTCCATATTAGTTTTTCCTTGGTTTTGTTTTTAAAAAAAGGAGCTACAAAATCCAAAATTGGAAGGGTGGACAGATACGTAGTCACTGGAAGCTACATTAGTTGCAACAAAAACTCTGCTTTCAAGTCCTTGTGATGCTGATTGGCAGTGGAGTTATTTATTGCTGTAGGAAATAGTGACCAAATGAAAGCCACTTTACTTGTAAGAATTCAACCACACTACACTAATGCCATTGAAGTGAAAATACTATACTTTATTTTATAAAAGGAAATTAAAACAAAAACCCTGCCAGTGTGTACACTGTACACATTTGAATGACACTCACAACAATGAAGTTTTATTCAATATACATTGAAAGATCACTAGCCCACACTGGTGAAGGATGATGTTTACAAGCAAATAAATTGGACTTCACAGATGTCACTTCCTGTAAAACTGATGTTTCAAGTCCAGATGACAGATGACAACAGCAACAATTATACTACAATAGCACTGGTAATGGAGCTTTGGAATTAGTGTCCATGCTATTTATTCCACTACAAACTGTACAGAAAGCAAGGCAAGACTTTATTCAGAGTATGATTCAGGGATAAGATTTGTCATTTGCTGGAATAATTCCTCACTCTTCAGTTGCCATTTTCAACAGATGCTCTTTGTCGATTTTGAAGAGCCTCCATCCTTCCTCAGTGGACAGATCAGAAGCACCTCTTCTCTTGTAGAACCTGATAGAAGGTTCATTCCATTCTGCGACTACAAAGTGCATGCTGCTACAGCGGCATTTGAGAGCAACCTACAAACATATAACCAGTATATTTATTAGGTATATAGCAATCTTATTTGTTATGTACACAAATCTATCCTTCCACTCACTGTTGATAGGCAAGAGTCCCCAGCAATGATTTATTTTGAAGTGGACACCACTACTAAAATGTCTGCAACTGTTTTAAATATAGAGTTTCCTCCTTTGTCCCTCATCTCCATTGTGTCTATCACAATTCTGCATCTATGAAGAATCAGACAGATACTAAACCACTAGTTAACGGAATCTGATAAGCCTGCCGCTATATGTCCATTTATCCACTTTACTACGGCAACTGAATCACTCACTTTCAAGTTCTGTTAAAGGGTAATATTAATTCAGACAACTGACAGACAGACTTACTTCTCTGCTGTCTTGTGCTAAAAATCTAATGGCGAAAGGAAAAACTACTTACCTGACTCAGATTCTTCAGAATTTCTGAACCAATGCCAAGTCCTAAAAAGTCAAGAAATGTTAGTTGTAATTTTTAAAAAAAGCATATACAATAAACAATACTTTAAAAAGCTATTCCTTAAAACATACCTCTGAACTCAGGCATTACAAAGAAATCTTCAAGGTACAGCAGTTTTCCAATCCATGGGTCATAAGTGAAGTAGTACATGGCAAAACCCACAATAAGATGTCCTGTAACAAAGGATTATATTACATCAGCAAAAAAACCCTTATTTTTGAAAGGCAACAAGATTAGTACATTTCAGCTTACATGCATGTAACCTAAATACCTAGGTGTTCTTTCTGTACATGCAACTATTATTTATTAACTGTTATAAGCCTGATTTAAGAATGGAAGTTTGCAATAAGCATATTGAGGTGTAGGTAAAATTGGAATTCTGATAGCTTGAGATCTGTGTTGTGGAATGAAGATTATCCTTCTGGTTCCTCAAAGGCAGTGTTTACAGTTATAGCGAACAATGAACAACTAAGGCTTTCTGCTACAGACATTATACATACTGATAAATCAGTAGGGTATGTCCACTTTGGATTATAAATTGGTTTACATTTTACACGGCAGTTCAGAATATGGTGGCAGTTAGCTCAATTCTGCTTTCTTAAAAATCAGAACACAACACTAATAGTAGAATCTAAAACCACACACCTTTAAAGTCTGTCTTCCAATTAATATTTCTCAAAAATTGCTCAGTGGGAAAACCAGGAGTGCTCACAGGCAGCCATTAGTTAACATAATGGCATCTCCAGCACTGCCTCAACTGTGTTCTCACTGATAAAGTAGTAGTCTGTCTCCATTATCCTGGGCACCAGAAAGATATCTACTTTGGCCAACAGCTTTCCTTGTTTGCTTGAAACAACTCTATGGCTCACCCTGTAAGAGGAGCCAACCAGTCAGTGCAGAACTGGTACCCTCTTCCAACATCATCCCACTCAGTCCTAAAACTTGAGAATTCAAATCATTGTTAGCCATAATGCTTTGCACATACTCATACGAAGAGAGTGCATTCAGAATTTCTGATCTACCGTGTGTTTTTGGGTAAATGCTTGGGAATAGTACTTGTCCCTGTTAGACCTTACCTCATGTATCATGATCATCTACTTTATTGTGTAACGGATCTTTTAGTTACCTCCCCGCCCATCCATGTACACGGAAGGGCCATGTACATGGCGAAGCTAGAGACTGTAACCTGAAGATTGGGGACAAATTAAAGAAAAAATGTGATTCAACAGGATTACATTAAGGTAAATTAGGGTCAAACAAGAACAACCATTTAATGAAATGGAATTACAGTACATCATATATATTATACCTGGTCTCCAGTGTCTTCAGGATGGTTGATCACTTTAGAAAAACATAATGGTTCTTCTGTTTCAAACACTTTCTTCTTACCCAAATTCACAGCTGGAGCTTTATGTATAATCAGTAGCTTTAAATAATGTTACATACACCCTGCGCATTTCTGATTTTAAAAAAGCAGCAGGATGTCTTACCTTCAGCTGTCCACTGTTCTTCTGGCACTTCTGCAACAAGACAGTGGTAGAAAGGATGCTCACCAAAGCCATCTTCAAGCAGATCTATAAGATGACAATAAGCTGATATACATTATATATTAACTATAGTGGGACTATCATCAAAACAAACTCACAGCTGCTAATTTGTTACCTTTTTCAGTTAGGACTACTTGATCTTCCATATCCTCATATTTAGCTAATTCCTGAAAAAAATATATATATACACGTAAACAAATATATTTCCACATGTAGAGAAGACATTTCTTACCCAAGTGCTATTTATACAAAGCAGCGCTGAGAGGAAGCCACTTTCCCTGTGCAGAGAGTGAAGAGCAAGCAGCCCATTGCAGGTGAAGTGAACACAAACAACTTGTTTTTGCCAAGTCAGGAGGGCAAAGGTGTCCTCCACACTCCAGCAAAGAAGGGCTGGGTGCTGGGCATACAAAACCACAGGAACAGGGAGTGGGGGGGGGGAGAGAATTTCTATCCCCTGTGTCGCAACAGGTGCAAAGGTTCTGATTACAAGAACAACAGATTTTCTACTCCTCCTTCCTCCCCCAGTCTCTCCCCACCTTCCTCCCCTCCCCCTTCCTCCCCCAGTCTCTCCCCACCTTCCTCCCTCCCCCAGTCTCTCCCCACCTTCCTCCCTCCCCCAGTCTCTCCCCAGATTCCTCCCCTCCCCCTCCCTCCCCCAGTCTCTGCCCACCTTCCTCCCCTCCCCCACACTCCTCTCCCTTCCCCCCCAGTCTCCCCCTCCTCCTTCCTCCCCCTCCACACACTCCTCCCCCTCCCCGCCTTCCCCCGCGCGCAGCCTGTTACCTTGATGAGGCGCAGCAGATCGGGGCAGTCCTCGGGCCGCGCGCTGCGGATGCGGAACGGGGCCATTTTCGGCGGCGCTTCCCCCTGCGGCCCCCCCGGCTGGCGAGTCCCCGGTACGTGAACAGGAGCAGCAGCAGCTTGTTCATTCGTGTCCCCGGCGCGGCGGCTCAGTCAGGCTCCGAGCATGGCGCGGCGACGACCACGGCCCAACTGCGCACTCCCGACTCCGCGCTGTGTGGAGGCGGCCGGCCGGGCGGCCCTCATTTATCGGCAACAGGCCCCGCCTCCTCCGTCCCCTCCGCCAATGGCCCCTCCCGCGCACAGGCCGTCAGCCAATCACAGCGCTCCCGACCCGAGCATTACCTCACTCGTCCAGAAACTGCGGGAGCGGCGCGTGCGTCATGCCAGCGTGAAGCCGGAGCGCGCGGCCGGCAGCGCCCCCTGGCAGTGACACCCCAAACAACAGGGATTGCCTCAGGGCGTGGGGACGCTAACTAACTGCTGCTCACCTGCATGGCACACACCCACTTTGCCCTCTTCGGGCTTAGCAGCGCAGCAGGGCTACAGATCTCCCCTCTGGCACCCAAAGCATAGGCTCCTCGGCACTGCGGGAGAATCTCTGCTAGCTGCTCTTAACAGTGTTGGGTCTCTGACACATTTGAGCAAGTCTGACACCCCACCTCCCCTTCGAGCACAGAGCAGCAGTCCACAGACTATAGTGGCCAGTAAATTCTGCACAGTGCTCTCACTTTTATACAGCCTC